AAACTTGTAAGTCTTTGATCTCTTGGCACCTGTTTATGAAGGGACCCAACTATACTGTCATTTCCATCTTCAAAGCTGCTAGCTGCTTCCACCATCACTTAGGCAGCCACTGCTCCCCTGCTGACTTGGAAAGGTCCCGCTACTGCAGATTGTGGTTTCTTTCTGCATGGATCCATTCCTCATCTGTTTTGCTGCCAGTAAAATAATTATTATGGGCCTTCAGAATTTTCAGGACCTACAAGGGTTAATCTTGCGTGTGTTCTGAATGTTTTTTGACAATTCTCTCCAAAATAACCCCAGACATTTCTGGACTTGTCCTGTCCTCTGTCCCACTCAAAATATGGTCGTGAGGTTTTGTGTTTGTGTTTTTGGAGACAGAGTCCCACTATGAGGTTCAAGATTGCTTACAGCTGTGGAGCCCAGGCTGGCCTGGAACTCAGCAATCCTCCTGCCTCAGCCTCCCAAATGATGCCTTCCACGTCCAGACTCGTCTTGCTGGGCTTCCCTGAAGACAACCAACCTCAAGTCTCGAGTGTTCCTCATGAGGCTGTGGTGAGCTTGTCCGCCTGTCCGCCTGTCCAGTCATCCAGGTGTGCGCCATCAGGTGTTGTGTAAGCCCCCCACGGCCCTCCGGCTCCTGGACATTGTGCTTCCGTAGCTGCTACAAACCACTTTTCTTCCCCGGCTGTTTCTTCACTGTTAGGTCTGCTTTTCTCCACTTTTTAATTGAAGTAAATAAGATATAAAACATGTGGGCTTGGGGCCAAGAGCACAGCGGGTGGCACTGTACCTGCCTGGCAAGCGTGAGGTCCTGAGTTCGATTGCTGGTCAACTGCCCCACGCCCCCAAAAAACCCCCAGAAACCACAACTAGATGAGCTTGATCCTGCTTCTGTGCGCTTTGACTGATTTTAGTTATGTGTGTCTCGAGTTTCTGTTTCTTGTGTGTCTCTCTGGTGTGGGACTACTTCTCCATGTTCAGTTTTCCTTCTGTAGCTCCACTACACGTCTGTCTGGAGACTAGCGCGTCTCCCATCGGTCCCTGCTCCCTCTGAGTTACAGCCCTGCCCTCTGTTCTGGTTGTCAATCAGGGAAAATAAAGTCGATCTATCTATTTGGTCCACAAAAGGTCCAGGAAGTAGGGAGTCGGTTCTTTTCCATTCAACTCGACCGTTCTATGTTCACCAGTACATTCTACGTACCAGTGCCTTTAAAAGAAAGTAGCATTTCTTTCAAGAGCTGTGATTCTTTTGTTGACAGTCCCTGTGTCACCTGGAATTGTTGCTGTGTGTGTGTGTGTGTGTTTTCTTGAGAGAGGGTTTCACATGTAGCTCAGACTGGCCTTGAACTCCTAGGGATCCTCCTGCTTCAGCCTCCAGAGTGCACCCGAACTCCAGGTCAGGCACGCACCACAGCGCCGAGCCGCTGTCTGTGTGTTTCATGAGGTTTGCTCACCCCACAGCCCCCCACCCCCGTGGCCAATACGCAGCATCTTTGTCCCACTGTGCTGGGAGCTGCCTCGGGAGCTCCACAGTGCTCGGGCCTGGCATGACGGGCTGGAAGGATCCCCAGCAGAGGGTGTAGCCGTACTTCTTGACAAAGACAGGAAAGCAAACGTCAGCCCCTTGTGCTGCGAGGGGCTCACTGCCTGTGCTCTGGCTGACAATGCAGGGCAGGCAGCAGCTTATAAACCCAGAGCGAGCTGAGCTCTTCCTTTAAAGGCGCAAGACAAACAGGAGCGTGCGGGGTCTTCAGAGCAGCTGGCGCTGTTTCCCCGTCAGGAGCTCAGAGAGTTGTCGCTGAATCTGGACAAAGACCCTTTCCCTGTGTTTGTCACCGGTGCCCTGGCCCTCACACCTTTCCAGTTCCCAGAACAGTGGTTTTACTTAGGACTAAAAGGTGGGTGGCAATAAGGGGGCTATAAATCCCAGAAAGCACTTTGCTAGGCACCTCCAGCTCTGACAAGAATCTTGCTAGTCGGGGACACTGGCGTGTTCCGTTCATGCACACGGACGTGCTACAGAAGAGGTCAGACCTTACCAATCTCTCTGAAAAACAAAAGGTTTATTGTATATGGAAATCAATATATATCTCTTACAAAAAAGATCTCACGTTTGTAAAGGCACATATGAAACATTTTACAGTAACAAAGAGGGTGGTAAGGACTTGCACTAAGACGGATACTGAAATAAGACTTTATAAAAATGGACAGAAACAGTGCAAACAATACTGTCGAAGTCAGTTTTATACACCTCATCCCTGTGTACGAAACTGGCAAGCATAAGCTTATTTACTGATACAAAGTAGCACATAGGAAAAGCATGCATAGTTTTACTTAAGGCTTTTCATATCAAATTGGGAGAGAGAAAATATATTGGAAGGGAGTCTATACCCAAGTACAGTTGACCTGGCTCTAGCGATGGCCACTCCCCCACTCAGGGAATGTGCTATCGATCTCGGTTCTTCAATCTCCCGACGGCTGTCTTTTTGGTAGTCAAGAAATCGGGCTTCCGTCTTGCAAAGTAGCAGGCGGTCATCACCGGACCCCAAACCCGGAATGCAACTAACAGTGAGGGCATGACAGGTGCTAGGTACTCGTGCCACGCAACCCCCAAAGCCAGCGAGATCGCCCCGGACACAGGTTGTGTGGGGAGCCAGCGGGCTTCTGGAAGCTGGCCCTAAGCCTGAAGAACCAACTGGTTCCTAGGTTGGGGTCTTGGGTATTACTTCAAACCCAAACCAGTACAAGTGAATTCTTTTGAAGTATACCAAAATTTGCAACATTTTACAAAACACAGGCCAAAGAAAAGCCCAGGAATACTGAAGCATATAGTACAACAGTCCAGTGAAACAAAAGCAATAGACCTCTTATTTGACCTTACACAGGTTACAGGAGGGGGTCGTAGGTAATTGTCACCTGCATGTACAGACCTCTTCTTCCCACCCACGGTACCCGGCACGGGCTTGCTGGCTACTGCAGGCAGGAAAGACAGACACAGGACGTCATCTCTGATGAACAGCAGCCTTCGAGATGCCTAACAGCAGCAAGGAGGTTGGAGGAACCTGCAGGGGAACGCCACAATTTCACAAGAAGGTGCTGGCTCTGGGTGACAGCTTCCGGTTGATGCTGCAGAGACGGATGTACTGGGGATCACTGCAGCAGGGCACGGGAGGGCACTAGAGAAATGCCAAGGACACCAGGCACCGTCCCGAGTGTCACCTCGCTAAACTCAAAGTGGCATTCCCTGAGATTTCAGCAAAGCACAGAAAGATGCCAAGCCAAACTTCTCAGAAGAGGTGGCCTTCTTGTTCTCTGAAGGAAGGGGATGGGTAGGAAGGCGGGTGGGTGGACAGCTCTCCGGCCTGCCTGGGTTCCCTTCTCGCTCAGTGGCACGTCTGCGTGGAAAGGCCACGGCACAGGAAGAAGCTGTAAGATACTAGTCAGACTGCTCACATCTACACTGCACCAGACGTAGCCACAGCAGATCCATGGAAGTTCACCCGACAGTGCAAAGGGCCACACCATCCTGGAGCTCAGCACGACTAAGTCCTGCCTTTTCTTTCATCTCCTCTGGCACTGAAGGACAATCTCCATCAGGGAGCAGAAAGAAGGTTAGGGGTGGCTGCCTGGTTGCTGACAGGTTTTTATTGGTGGCACTGGGGATTGAGCCAGGGTCTATGGCCTGAGCTGTGCTCCAAGGTTACGTAAGGCATTGAGTCACCCAGGTCAGGCTTGAACTTGCCGTCCTCCTGCCTCGGCCCGCCAGAGTGCTGGGATGACAGGCGTGTGTCTGACGCCAGGCTCACCGACAGCTCTTTAGCTACCTCCATTCCTGGTATTTTCACTTCACAAATCTTAACCCTTGAAATCATATGAACTTTTTGAAAAAACAAAAAAAAAGAATTAGAATTAATTTCCCAACTGCACATTTTGGAGAGGTGTGAGACAGTGATTCACTGAGCAGGTTCAATGCTTTGGTAGGGGCTGCAGGGCCGGGCAGGTAAAGAAATGAACGGGCAGCGTGGACAGCCGAGCACAGCGAAGAGAAGCAGAAGCTCTGGCTGCCTCAGGTGAGGACGGCGGCACCACCAAGCGGCGCACAGCTTCAGACACTGGCCACACTCTTGCTGCACCCAGCAGCGACACCCACACTTTCCCCTGGGCCACTTCCAAACCCTGACATCCCAGAAAGGAGCACCTACAGGTCCAAGAAAGTGTGAATCACGAACTCGTTGACACAAGTTCCGGACAGATCTGAGCCCTTCCTCCCTCTCCCCATGGAGGGCTCCTCTTCAAGCAAACTTCAGGGCCACTTTTTGGAAGGAGGACCCCTGCCGCAAGCCAGGGTAAAGCAGAGGGACAGTGACTTTCTCTGTGGATGCGGGTCACATGCAGGCTGGCCTTGCACAGCTTAGCCTCCTGCCTCACAACTCGGTGTCCCTCAGTCTCTTTGTAAAGTGGGAGGAGGAGCAAAGGCGGGAACAACAGGGACAGATGGACACCCTCCCTTTCCCTGCACCAAGGGACACAGGGGACCGAGGCAATTCAACGAGTGGTGTCAGATCCTCAGCCAGGCCCGAGGGGACATTTTAGTGGGATCCTGAGAGAGAAGATGCAGCTACTTTAAACTGGAGAAGGTAAAAGGCATGGCCCACTGGCTTCAAAGGGCAAGCGTATATTGGCTGGGCCAAGCCCAGAACAGGCAGGCAAAGCCAAGTACCAGGAAGCTAGGTGTGGCCGAGCTTCCCAGGATGCTCTGTGTCGGTGGCCTCCAAGTGATTCTAGAGAGCAGAATTAGTGAGAGGCCTTCACACATCTGCCACACATCTGCCACACATCATGCCGGCCTTTTCCACATAGTAGGCAGCAAGGTATCCGGCCCGCAAATGACTTCGAGGCTGAGATAAAGATCAGAACCACTCTCCTCTCGGGAAGCGTCCCACACGTTCCCATGCTGCAGCTCCGCTCTGCCTGTCGGAGCCACCTAGCTGCCCCCACCCCCACGCAGGCCACTGGGAAATCCGCAGTCCCTACGGGACACTCACAGCTTGGCACTTCTGGGAATTCTGCCCAACAGTCACCCCTGATGGGACAAATGAGAGGCAGAGGACACCGACAGACATCGAGCTGACCAGCCTCCCTACACACCTTCTACGAAGTCCTCACCTGCCCCAAGTGACTGACATGCCTTTTCCAAATGAAGATCATCAGTGACACCAGCTGTCCCCATCAACCGCACCACCAGAAATGGGAAGTTACTCTGCTGTTTTGACAGAGGGCATCTTTGGGGCCCCTGCATCAGGCTTTGTAACCACTGGACTACATATGTTCAGCCAATCCAGATCGATACAGTGAAGGCATCAGCGAAGGACAACCACGGGCCATCCCATAAGGATGCGCCTGATGGCCTGCCCAGCCCCTCACATGAAGAGCAACTTCCCTGCCCCAGGACAAAGCCCCTCACTGTGGCCACTTACGGAGCATCGCCAGAGGGAAGCCCCCAACCAGGCAGTTCCACACGCTTTCACATGCACCCAGCAAGATCCTCACTGAGGGGGAAGAGACAAGCTCTGAACTCAGGTGATCCCTTTACAGTTTCCATACTCCTGGGAAACAGGGTCAGTAACTGGAACCTCCACAGGGTCAGCCCACGTTAAGCCACAGGAGGTAAGAAGCAGCAGCTCGCTGGCTAAACCCGTGGCCTGCTGTGCCTGCGGCAGTTGGCCTTTTGCCAAAGTAGAGCATAAGCAGGATATAGGCAGCCTGAACCTGTGCAGATGTCAGCCCTCAGCAGCGTGCACAAGACCTGCTGGCCAGTGGGTGGGTGCCGGAGGCAGCAGGAGAGAGCCAGCTCCCTGGGAAAGCAGGACAGCAGCGCTGCGATCACAGTCAGTTGTTCTTCTCAACCCAGAACAATAAAATCTGTACAAATGAATTCTCCATAAGCGCCTAAGAAGCTTATTAGGCAAAATAATAATCTTCGCAGCAATGTTCGCACCTTCCCCGGCTTGCTCATTACACACACAGCCCCACATCCACCCTGACTCTCATGGGAGAAAGCCAGCATGCGGCCCTTTCTCAGGCAGCTAGATCTTCTTCCTGCCTATGCACAGGCAGAGCTGGGGGTAGAGGTGACAACCACCTGCCAACGCTGCTGGGGCACAACCAACGGTGGCCCCCCCTCTCTGTGTCAGGGATGAAGACATGAGGACCACGGGAACCACAGGGACCAGGACACACACTTGGTCAACAAAGTTCACTGAGGGCAAATGAAAGGACAAAACTCTGAGGCCAGGCAACTCCAAAACCAGAGGCCAGAGAACATTTTGACAGCTTGTCTGCGAGACGGTATCTTTCCTTCCACTTTAAATTTTCTCTCTTCGAATCCTACCAGCAGCAATAGACCCTGACAGTCCCAGCGTTAGACCTGATGCATCACCAGGAAACCACTCCAAAAGGTCTAGCTACATAACTAACACACTGTGCTTCAAAGTTTATTCCTTGGCCTGCTGCCCAGAAATGAAGCATCTCCGGATAATTGTTATGTAGATGCCTCTGAAAGGACCTAACTGGTTGCTGCTAATTTAACAGGAGCCGTGTTGGCATTCACTGGAGAGGCAAAAAGGAATGTGAAACGTGCGAAAGAACCGGAAGTGTTTTTGTTGTTGTTGTTGTTGTTTAATGAAATGTATGGAATAACTAATGTTTGGGTTTCCATACAAACTCTGGCCGGGAAGTTGGATGCCACATCCACTTCCGCCCCATGTCCTGTGTTTTCATGAACATTCTGGAAGCCCAAGATGGGCGCGGTGATGAGGCCGAAGGAGCCCAGCATGAGGAGCTCCAAGACAAGGCACACCTGCGGGCTGCCCGCAGAAGCCAGTTCTCCAGGGACCACGCTGAGGTTCAGAGACGAAAGGCGAACAGTGGCGTTCTTCGTCATATAATAAACCAGTAGCTGAGACCAACTGTTAGACTGTCCAGGGACCAAAAGAGTCTCTAAGGAACTAGAAACAAAATCCTTTTCTCTGTGGCACTGGAGCCGCACGTGAGCCCCGCAGTTGCCCTTCCAGAGCGTACCAAGAGCCTGGAATCCACAAAGCTCAGCTGAAGGTACGCCCGAGCAAATGTCACGCCTTGCAGGAGAACAGAAGGGAAGTCCTGACCAAGGCGCCTGATCCTACGTGCGGCAGGCAGTCACGGAGCCATGCTCTCTCAACAGGACACAACCACCCTACTTCTGTCCTTTCAGCTCAGGAAAACAGAAACAAACCCAAAGCAGGGCAGCTGTGGAGGAAACTGACACCTAAGTCAGTTCTGAGAACAGATCCAGGACTTAGAACTTGTGTAACAAGGAGATACGCAGAATGGAAAACGGCCCAAAATTCATTCAGGAAGCAGGACGAAGTGTGAGCCACGATTTCTTCTACTAAACTAAGGGATTTAGAAGGCCACCAACCAGTGAAGTCACAGGCAAGAGCTGTGAACCGAGCTTCAAGCTGAGGGCTGCGAAGGCCACGGCTGAGCACAGCGCACGTGGAAAGAAAGAGCAAAGTGGGGAGCCTGTTGGGCGATGCATCCACCCCTCCCAGGACCATGACGTGACGTGATGTGACATGACGTGGTGTGAGATCAGCTCCGCTCCCACCAAGGGCCGCACAGCGTGATGCTGGCCAGGCCCCGGCAGCCAAGTGCCACATGGGTCCTGCAAACCAGCTTCCCAGCTGTTTCCTTTACAGCCTTTCCTCTGACAGGGACCAACAGATGGACACACCCAGCCCGACCTGCAGGCACCCAGGCGCCGCATGTCACTAAAGCACAGCACCAATGCCGACTGCTCCTTCTCCTACACTGCCCCACTCGACTTCTAACCAGGGAAGAGACTGGATTGCAGGACAGCCCAGCCCGGCCAACCCCAGCACCAGATCAGAATCTGTCTGCAAATGGGAGAGGCAGCAGGCTCCAGGCTTGGGCCCCAGACACAGCAGACAGACTCTACAGAGCCAGGAGACCCGCTCAGCCCGAAAGGCGTCAAGGACCCCCTCCACACTACCACACCCCCTCCCACCTCTTACTGAAGCTTGGGGCCCTGGGATATGGGTGGTGGGAAGGAGGTTACTGAGGGTGAGGGCAGAAATAAAGAGGGAACTGTCAAAGTGCGCCTCCTAATCAAACAAACCGCCAAAACAGAAAAGAACAGTGACTCTTCCTTTGGCCCCTTTGCTTTCCATTCCAAGGTGAATTCTTTTTCTTGCCATCTCTGACTTGGAACACAAGCAGTTAGGATGATGAATTTCAGGCTGGCTTATAAATCTGGCTGCTGGGCTGGGGAGATAGCTCAGTAGAATAAGTGCTTGCCTGGCAAGCGCAAGGGCCTGAGTTCAATCCCCGGTTCCGCCAAAAGAAAAAAAAAAATCTGGCTGCCACTTCCTCCACTAGAGATGTGCGTCTTGCGCCTCCGTCTCCAAAGTCCCCACTGGGCAACCTTCCCTCCTGACGTCTTACAATGCAGATCAGTCAAGATGTGGTTCAAATGCAACGCACTGTATTGCTGTGAAAACCGCATTATAATAATTCATAAAAGTCATTCCAAGAGGAAAAAAATAAATTATCTCATATAAAATAATACACAATGTTGCCAGGTGACCTGGCCTTCCTGCTGCAGGCTCCGGGTCCCTCTCCAGGCGCTGGATGGGGACTAAATGAGTCTGGAGTTCTGGAGGAACTGGATGAGGACCTGGTAGACGAACTTGTACTGCGTGATGGTCTGGATCATGAACATCCTCTGCTCCCTGAGCAGCTGCAGCATCACCGGGACGTCCACCTTCTGCAGGGCACAGAAAGGACAAACGCTGAGCCGGAGGCTCCCCACCCCTCTCTTCCCCCCTCCTCCAGAAACCACCCACCTGCCGCCTGGGCTCGGGCCCCAGATCAAAGACCTCTGCCAGGACAAATGAGTCTGCACCAGCCACGGAGGAGGTGGCTGCCGGGTGGCACGAGTGGGAGATTTTAAACAGTTTATTCATTCTGCTAGACAGGACTTGCAGGCTGGGGTTCGCCTGCTGGCTCCCCTCAGCCCTGCTGAGGATGGGCTTAAGACACCGCTGGGTCTGAGTTTCCTCTTCTGTAAAATAAGGGTTACAAGGCTCTCCCCTACCAGGGTGGCCTTGCCCTTCTTGGGTACACTTCCTCAGTGACAATGTGGGGAAAGGAACAGTGTCTACCTTGCAGGTTCAGCTGACAAAACGTCTATAAAGAGTTTGGTGCTTGATCTGGCATACCACTATGTGTTCTTAATAAAAACAACTCATGTTCTTGACATCAATGACTATGTAGCTAGCGCGTGGCGCCAGGCTGCCATTTGCTAGGCTTGGGACCTCGATCAGGCAGGGTATTCACCTGCAAGGATTTACCACACTGGAGCACAGTGTCTGAGCATCCGTCACCTTTGGCAGGGAAGGCCTTTGATCAAAAATGCTTGGAGTATCAGACAAGTTATGTGTAAGTCCACAGAGAACGGAGCTCTGGGGAGGAAGCTAACAGGGTGGCTCATGGGGCCTAAAGTCCCCACACCCCTCCCCCACCACTGCCACTCTCCTGGACGGCCAGCAGGACAAGTGTCCCAAGTCCCCAGCCTTGCTGTCCAGAATCCACTCGAAGTGTGCACGGTGAGTTCTG